CATGCTCAGCTAATTTTTTTGTAGTTTTAGTAGAGACGGGGTTTCACCGTGTTGACCAGGATGGTCTCGATCTCTTGACCTCGTGATCTACCCGCCTCAGCCTCCCAAAGTGCTGGGATTACAGGCTTGAGCCACCGCGCCCGGCCTCTTCTCTGCTTTTATGCAGTGATTTAATAATCTTTTATAGCTAAGGCTCAGAAAGGGCTAAAGGGCATATGGTTAGTTCTGTTCACCCCCGATCTGAGATCCATGTGCCAGGAAGAGGTGACACCTTGTCTATCCCACTCCTGTCCATGGTGCCTTGTACCCTAGCTATGGCGACCTGGGTGCTGAACTGAGTCCAGCAGCAGGTGCCAAGGCTGTGACATCCACTGTGGGTCCCAGCACAGTGGCTAGACAGATCAGTGACGATAATGTGGTGGCAGTGAAGGCAGGCAAGCTAAAGCAGTGATGGGTCATGTTCCTTGGGCCCAGAAGCCACTAACCCACCCGGGGGTTCCAGAGCCACATGTCATACAGGAGAGATGGCTATCTGTCTCCAGCCGCTGGCTTCCCCCAGTTATAGAGAATGCAAATTGCAAAACGATGCAATGATAAGGTGATCCACAGCCAGAGCCTGGGGATGGGCCAGGGTAGTGCTTTTAAGCCTGCAGAAACACACAAGTCTGATTTTGGGGTCGGCAGCTGGCAGTCAGGGAGAGGGTTCCTTGGCCTCCACTGTCCCATTTCTGGCTCCGCGGTCTCAGCCCAAGGACAGCCCAAGCCCCAGGTTGACTGGCAGGAGCCTGTGGCCCCAATAAGTGACCTGGTGTCACAAACAGGCTGGTAACCTGGCCGTAGCTGCGCCTGTTGGTTTTGCCTGGGCCTCACCTAGCCAGAGCCAAGTGGAGCACCCAGATAGCAGCCCCCTCCCTGCCACGTGCGCTGGGGAAACAGACTGCGTGCAAAGGGTGAGGGAGGAGACCGTCCCCTAGCCCCCAGTTCTCCAGGAACACTACTGCTTCGGCCAGAAAGGGAGTGTAGGGGTGGGGTGGGGGTAGATACCGCAAACCTCCCGAAGCCTTCCCGCGAACAGTAACACAAGCACAGGATCCGCCAAGCGGGGGAAATGATCACCTCCGAAGAGGGCCTGGGATCAGAGGTGTGGGCAGCAAAGTTCTCCTACCCCCCGGTGGAGACGTGGGGGCCCTCTTTTCCCCACCTCTCTCACCGCACGGCCCTTCCCAGACACCCCGGTCCGGCGCCTCCTCCCCCGCCCGGCGGCTGCTCTCGGCCAGTCCGCAGGTTCCAACGTGTCCCTCTCCTCCGCGCCTCCGGGAGACGGCGCCGCCCGCCCTGCCCCAGCGCCCCGCGTCTCCCGCGCACTCACCGAAGCCCCTGGTCCCCTCCTCCGGGGCCTCTTGGGTGAAGATCCAGGGCGGGTTGGTGGCGTAGAGGGAGGTGCTGGGGCTGGTGGCGTGCTTCTTCCCGAAGAGTTTGCTGAAGGTGCCCTGCACCGTCTGGTTCTTTTTCATGCTGCCGCAGCCCGCGCGGGCGCCGGGGAAAAACCTTGCTTCCGTCGCCCTGCCCGGCCCGGGACTGAACGCCGCGCGGTCTCTCCAGGGGACCCTACCAGGCCATGTCCTCCGCCGTCTTCCCCGCCCGCGCACCGGGCGACAGGTGCTGCGGGCGCCGCCGCTCGCCGGGAAATGTGAGCTACCTGGCCAGGTAAGAGGCAGCCGCCCGGCCCGGCCCCGCCCCGCCGCCGCCCAACTCCCCAGGCCGCATTCCTTCTCTCCTCCTTCTACAACAGGCCATTGTTGGCACGGCCCGGTGGGCTGGGGACCTCGCCTGGCCCACGCCCACCCTGGGAGACGGGCCACCCCCTTCCCCAGGTTCCCTCCCGGAACGCCTCCTCCACCCCACTTCTCCCTGGGCCCGGGAAGGAGGCGGGTGAGTTCCCTGCCTCTCAAGGCGGTTCGTGAGCAGGTCGGTGTAGGCACTGCGGGGACAGCTCTAGCGTCCAACACGAGGGACACGGATGGCCAAAGCAAGCACGCCACAGCATCCTATAGGCCTTCAAAAATGTGGGGCCTGAGGCTTTGGGGGGCATCAGGAAGTGCCCTGATAAGAAAAGTAAGCTGGGAAAAGCAAGAAAATGACAAACTAGTATACCAATCTAATGACGACGGTGGAAACATCCTCTTTGACAGGGCTCCCAAGAGAAATGTGGGATGAGGAAATCTTGGCATTCTGTGTACATCACATTCTTTTTTTTTCCTTTTTTTTTAAGACAGAGTCTCACTCTGTCGCTCCAGCTGGAGTGCAGTGGCATGATCTTGGCTCCCTGCAACCTCCGCCTCCTGGGTTCAAGCGATTCTCCTGCCTAGGCCTTCCGATGGAGTGAAACTCCATCTCAAAAAAAAGAATTTCCCAGTTATCCCCTCAAATGTCATTTTAGTTTTTTTGTTTCTTTTTTATTTTTTTTTTGAGACGGGGTCTGACTCTTTTGCCAGGCTGGAGTGCAGGGGCGGGATCTTGGCTCACTGCAATCTCAACCTCCCCGGCTCAAGCAATTCTCCTGCCTCAGCCTCCTGAGTAGCTGGGACTATAGGCACCCACCACCATTCCCAGCTAATTTTTGTATTTTTGGTAGAGACAGGGTTTCATCATGTTGGCCAGGTTGATCTCGAACTCCTGACCTCAAGTGATCCCCTCCAAAAGTGCTGGGATTACAGGCATGAGCCTCTGTGCCCAGCCTGCTTCTTTCTTCTTTTCTTTTTATTTTTTGAAATGGAGTCTCCCTCTATTACCAGGCTGGCGTGCAGTGGCACAATCTCGGCTCACTACAACCTTGGCCTCCCGGGTTCAATCGATTCTCTTGCCTCAGCCTCCTGAGTAGCTGTTACTACAGGCACGAGCCAATATGCCTGGCTAATTTTTATATTTTTAGTAGAGACGAGGTTTCACCATGTTGGCCAGGATAGTCTTGATCTCTTGACCTCGTGATCTGCCCACCTTGGCCTCCCAAAGTGCTGGGATTACAGGCGTGAGCCACTGTGCCTAGCCTTTTTTCTTTTTCTTTTTTTTTTTTAAAGACAAGGTTTGGCCGGGCGCAGTGGCTCACACCTATAATCCCAGCACTTTGGGAGGCCGAGGCTGGTGGATCACGAGGTCAAGAGATCGAGACCATCCTGGTCAACATGGTGAAACCCTGTCTTTACTAAAAATACAAAAATTAGCTGGGTGTGGTGGCGTGTGCCTTTAGTCCCAGCTACTCGGGAGGCTGAGGCAGGAGAATTGCTTGAACCCAGGAGGCGGAGGTTGCAGTGAGCTGAGATCGCCCCATTGCACTCCAGCCTGGGTAACAAGAGCGAAACTCTGTCTCGAAAAAATAAAAAATAAAAAAGTAAAAAATAAATAAAGACAAGGTTTCACCATATTCGTCAGGCTGGTCTTGAACTCCTGACCTCAGGTGATCCGCCTGCCTCAGCCTCCCAAAGTGCTGGGATTACAGGCATGAGCCACTGGGCCCAGCCTTTTTTCTTTTCTTTTCTTTTCTTTTTTTTTTGATGGAGTCTCACTCTGTCACCAGGCTGGAGAACAGTGGGGCAATCTAGGCTCACTGCAACCTCCAACTCCCTGGTTCAGGGGATTCTCCTGCCTCAGCCTCCTGAGCAGCTGAGATTACAGGCCTGTGCCACCATATCAGGCTAATTTTTGTATTTTTTGTAGAGACAGGGCTTTACCATGTTGGCCAGGATGATCTGGATATTTTGATCTAGTGATCTGCCTGCCTCAGCCTCCCAAAGTGCTGGGATTACAGGCATGAGCCACCGAGCCCAGCCCTGTTTGTTTTTTCAATCCACAGTCCAACTGAGATTCACACCTTACCTCTGCTTGTCATGTCACCTTAATTTCTTAATTTAACAGTCCCCTGTTTTTTCTTTATTTTAAGAGAAGGGGGTCTGGTTTTGTTGCCCAGGCTGGACTTCAACTCCTGTGCTCAAGCAACCCTCTGGTGTCAGCTTCCCCAGTAGCTGGAACTGCAGGCCTGCCACCATACCGGGCTTAACAATCCCCTGCTTTCGTTTGTTTGTTTTTCATGACATTGACATTTCTGAAAAGTCCCCTGACTTGCTTTGGCTTCAATGGACAAGGTAAGCCAGGCCTTCAGGGCTTGTGGCTGTGAGGTCACTGTTTTCCAGGTACCAGATGAAGAAGTCTGAAGAACAGATATGGTGGTGGGAGAGGAGAGATGGAGAGGGGCAACAGTGCCATTTTTAAAAACACCTGTTTCCCAGGTGTTTTGGTTAGAGACACACCTGTGATCAACTCTGTCCCACCCCACCCACTACTGTGGCACTCCTGGAACCAATTCCTGTGCATTCAAGGAGGATTTCTGGAGGACCTCCTAGTGGTCCACCTCCTAGTGGTTGGGGGACATGTGAGTATAAGATAATTATGAGTCGGCCGGGCGCGGTGGCTCAAGCCTGTAATCCCAGCACTTTGGGAGGCCGAGGC